CAAACAAGATAGTGTTCTCAGTCAGACCATTGCTGACTTCCTCTCTCTCTTAGAAAATCCCGCAAATCGACCTGCTTTGAAAGGAGGGGGTGGTGGTGAACCCCCCGATCCCGGCCCATCCAATAGTACAACGCAGCTTGCCTTGTCACGATCATCGCTGAGAGAGCCGCTATTCGTGGTGCCAGCAGGCTTCCATCCCAATGCCACTTTTGTTGGCATGGCCAGAGAGCTGGATATCTTACACGCTCGGTTATATAGAGCTAAAAAGCGGGCTGAGCGCCTTGCAGCCGTCTTGATATGCGGGGTCCCTGGAGCCGGAAAGTCTCATCTGGCAAGACAATACGTGTGGACCCAGCGCGACTGCTACCCCGGCGGCATATTCTGGGTAGATGCGAAATCACGAGAGTCGACTAGCAAGTGCTTCTGGGACATCGCGCAGGCTGCGAGTTTAACGGACGAGCTTGAATTCGAGAGCCCGGACTTCAAAGCACCGCAGAAGTACGTAGAGGTGGTCCGCAACTGGTTCCAAGCCCGAGAGGAGTGGCTTCTCGTCTTCGATGGTCTCAGCTTTAACCAGGAAGACGACCTTAACCATTTCAGGCAGTTTTTGCCTTTCAACAGACAGTGCAGCATTATCTACACCTCGGTGGATCGAACACTGCGGAAGAAACAGCGCCTGTACGAGCCTTATTGCCTTCAAGTGCCCCCTCTGTCGGTCGAGGATGCGTGCAAGCTCTTGTTCAAGGATTTGGGAATCAAGAGACCCACCAAAGAGCAGGTCCGCAAGGCAACTGAACTGGTCATGCACTATGAGTGTCTGCCCCTTGCCATCCATGCTATCAGTCACCGCCTCAGTGCAACATCCAAGCCAATTGAAAGGTATCATATTAACTCGCATCTGACGGATGAAAAGCTTGCGGAGCCCTTCCTTAGTATCATGCACGACCTATACCGGATGGGGCATTTTGAGGCCCTGAACCTGATCAATCTCCTCTCTTTCCTCGGACACCATGTGCCGCTTGGGCTCATCAACTTGGGCAAATCAGTTCTGGAGACCTGGAATGTCGAAATTCTCACAAGCAGTAGGCCGGGGGAGCGCGGGGATATCGACACTACTTTAGGAATCTTAATTCGGTACGGTCTCATCGAGAGGACCTCCGATGCTTACGTTCTAAAGGATCTCTCCCCTCAATCCGAGAAGGAAATGATATTCGACCCCCGAGCCGTGGTGCCCGAGCTATCCGAATCGCAAACGGAGAGCAGTAGCCAGGAGGCCAGCTTCTCCGTTTATCAACATGCGGGCTCGATCGATGTCATTAAGATCCATAGCGTGGTTCAGGGATTCTGCCGCGACGAATTGAAAATCATGGATGAAGAGCAAAGGAGGCTAGAGGCTCGACGAGGGTCCGGGGCTGGATCAGTCCATGAATCAGGGTCAGGCTCTGGAGTCGCCAAAGCCGAGGCCGGCTTCTACGAATCATGGCTCGTTGTGGCCATTCGCCTTCTCTGCAAGTCGTACGAGAACGCGAAAAAGCGCATGGAACTGGTCGACGATTACGGCCTGGTTAAGGATTATCGAGAATATGAAACTCATGCATCCCGGTTGATCGAGAACTTCCCGAAACGGCCCTCGAAAGAGAAAATCGTTCAAGAGGCGCGTAACGAATTAAAACAGCTGATGAGGAGCATCTCCAGCGAAATTGAACGCTTGTCGCCGCATTCTTCGCAAGACTCCATTCGCAAACATCGGTCCGTATTTGATAGGTCAAGCAGCTCTTCATCGTCCGTGCCGGATTCTGACGAGAGCCCGTCGAGGCAGCTAACATGGGATCTCGGGGATGATTCCGCAAAAGTTGAGTCACCGAAGGAGCTGCCCGCTACGGCGCACCGGTTTAACCTGAGCCCCTTTCTCCCTCATATTTTTCGCGAGTCGAGTAGTGAGCAGGAGGCCGAGAGAGCCAATCGGGAGAAGATGGAAGCGTCCTCGCTCTCGCAGATGAGCCAGGCTACGGAAAAGCCATCGATTGCTTCAAGCCCGCCACGGGACGATCAAGGCTGGCAGGTGGTAGAGAAGCCGCAGAAACCTAAGCCTGGAAAGGAGAGGCAGCCGAAACAGCGCCCAAAGTTTCCAGCCCACATACATGGCTCCAAACCGGCAGCTCCTGTGCTCAAGATATTCCCTGTTGAAGGGAGGAGCGCGTCAAGCAGTAGCATGGAGAAAGGCCGCAGTAGTTCTTCTGTCTCTGCCACGGAAGCACTGACATCAGTGCAGAATTCCAGCCCCCGCCGATCCGAGGAAGATCTGCCTGCTGGTCAAGCCAACCGAACATGGGCTGCCGTGGTCGCCAAAGCCAAGCGCGCCGCAGAGGCACGAGGAGCTTCTTCGTTATCGCCGAAACAGCGGCCCTCGTCTTCACCTGGGGAGACGAAGCGCCCGAGTTTGCCCGTCCCAAAGCCGTTGGAAAGCAAATCTTCGGGTGAAACGTTGTCAACCGATATGAGACAGCTACGCTTCCAGGAAGACCCATTGAGCCGATCCACGTACAGTGAGCCAGGCCCAGAACTACTCACACAGCAGCTGCACGCACTGGACCTGGGAATTGCACCGGATTCACGCTACCACTACCGTCAATTATCCACATCAATGACAGCGGCGCCGTTAAGGGACATGTCGGCCAGTACGCCGTCGATTTTGGCATTTCCCCCACAGCCGCTTCCGTACGAGAATGACATCGAAATCACGGTTTCACGACGCTTGAATGCGAGCAGCATGCCGCCACCGCCGCCTGTCAGTCAGTCGGCCGCCACTTTCGGCCCAATCGCCCCCTTCCAGGCCGCGCATCATTCAATCATACATCCATCTGCCATCATGCCGGGTGCCTCACCACCAGTTTCGGTCATCACTGATGGAATCGGAAACACTGGCTACACATCCGACCCACCTCCCGCTTTGGAGCCATTGTCACGAGGGCCTTCGGGGCAGTCTTACCAGTCCTGGTCACCGGAACCAGAGCCAGAGCCCATGCGGCTTCCACCTCGGCTCGTCCCCTTGCCCTCCAACTCGGTGGTGTACATGCCCCAACAACAGACGCTCTCTGGAGCTGGCGGCTGGGTCAGTGATGCGCAGCAACCAGCAAGCCTGGGAAGTGTCAGCTCGCCCGAAGATCTAGGGATTCTACACTTCGGGGCTCATCGAGTCGATGTGCGGGACGCTCGGCAGAGGCTCGAAGTGGGTGGGCGCTATCAGGTCTCCGGCGCCGCATGGCAATTATATCACTCAAACAGATCGGGTCCTCTCATCCGTCAGAATCAGGATGCGTCGACTGGTGCAACCACACAGGGAACATACGTTCGACGACCCCGAAGTGGCAGCTCCCCAGTTCACCCTGAGTAAAAGATTGATTTTTAATTTGTCACTGGGATGATGAGAAATGAGTTGAGAAGAAGAAAGCAGGGGGGAAAGAAAAGAAAGAAGCATCAGGCAGGTACTGATGCAAATGCATATGAGCACAGGTTGGAGTTACGCACTGTCAGCATTCACTTTCATATTAGCATTGTCATTCAAAATTTTGATCGCTTTGATCAAAGTTCATGCATATAAGATAGGAGATAGAGCGGCATAGTGTACAGGCGTTTACTGTTTCCTTGGGCTTCTATACCCGCTTCCTTTTCTGATGTTTGGCGTACCCTTGTTATGTGAGAGACTTCGTGCATCTCATGGTAATAGTCATGGTGAGAGAATAGATGAACATCTTGGTTAACAGGTTCTAGTATGCCTGAGTCCAATGGTTGATGTTATTACGACTTCCAAGCCCAAAACCTAACACTGATCTGATTCGCCAGATTAAAAGCCTTTTGACCTGAAAATAAGCCATTACCTGCCTAAGATGATACTATTCTAGAAGCTATAGATACACCGACGCGAGAGAGTGCAAGACTCGCGTTTACGTGAGCTTCAGACCTTATTGTCATATCGTGCACCTCAACATTTCCACGTCCGTCTCCACACTCCACTTCTTCTTATTTCTCAACCACAGGTCTGAAGGATGCGGGAAGTGAGACTGCTCCATGGACTCTCTGAGCGTCAAGAGCCTGCGCTGTTCCTAGTCAGACTCACAATCCTGTCTTGGCTGATAAAAAAAGGCCGATAGATTGGCATAGTACATGGTGCGGCTGGCGTTCGGAGGCACATGCAGACATATCATCAGACAGCGAGGGCTATGCTTCCATCTCAACTGTCGACTTCGACCTGAGGAATGATTGTTTGAAAGCAATAGGCAGACCCTTCCATGATCTGAGCTGCCGAAATTGTTCCGCAAGGGGCAGTGGGTATACCCAGCGGCAACACCTCTCCCTTGAGTCAGAAAAGATCTATAGCATCTGTGCAGTTTAAGATACTTCCGTTTGAGGAAGGTAAACCAGCTCCTCAAACTTCTCCTCCGTTTGACCAGGTCGGTATGCCTCATGCCTCACATGGTTCAGACATGCCTCATACCTGTACGTTGGAACCATGCCATTGACAAACGAAAGAGTTTACTTGTCATTGTGAACAAGGGCTCAATTTGATGCACTCTGCTCAGCACTCAGAAGCCAAGTGTGATTGAAGCAATCAATTTCTGGCGCGAGCTTTTTGTGCCACCGTCAGTGTTGAACAATGTGCTGAATTGCAGGATACGTCTGGACTCTCTGGCGCGTTGTACAAGGCGGCGGTGAGAAAGTGAAGACGCGAGCAATTATTGGACTTATAACCAGCGTTTTGTGCGCTTATCTCCGAATGAGTCTTCATTGAAGGGCTGTGGAATGAAGCATCCTTAGGGCATATGGATGGGTACGCTCTTGATATCCCTTACTTCATATCTCATACCAACTCCGGACCGTGGCCCTCATTCCACTACCAGGCTGATACTATCAGGCTGAAAAAATCCATATAATGCGATGACTTGGCCTGCCTTGTACAGCAGGCTTCAATATCTTTGATAGTGTGGGAACACGGTTGCACGATGGCCAGTTCCAAGACAGAGAGGTCCGGTCCAGCAAGCGTCGTGGCGGCTGGCGATGCCTTGCCACAAGCGCGAGGCCAGCAGATGGAGCTCCCACAGCAATTCTCTGCAATCTCTGCTTTGTCGTTTGCTTATATTGTCACAAACTCTTGGGTTGGTTATTCGGGGACCTTCGCCACTGCGTTGCTGGCCGGTGGAGGGCCAGCTGTTTTCTACGGTCTTATAGTGGCTGGAATCGTGTGCACTATCATTAGTACGCCTGCGTCCCTCAATTGTCTGTAGTACGCTGATTCAATTTGCTATCTCAGCCCTGGGTCTTGCCGAGTTGGCATCTGCGTTCCCGTCGAGCGGAGGACAATACCATTTCACGTTTATGGTCTCGTCACCAAAGACTCGGACGCCCTGTGCTTTTGTGTGTGGCTGGCTCAGCTGTCTTGCCTGGTGTCTGACCACAGTATCTGGCACCATTTTCACCGGTATGGCATGAGGTTCTGTGAGACTATTGAGCAGGTTCAACTTACGATGAAAAGCTCAAGCGATTCTTGCGCTTGTCTCGTTCCTGAAGGAGGACTACCAGCCCAGGCAGTGGCAGACGTACCTTGTCTTTCTTGCTCTTATGACACTGGCAACGGGGATAGTTTGTCTCCTCGCGCACTGGTTGCCGCGACTGCAGGAGGTCATGTTCTGGAGCAGCATATCTGCCTTTGTCGTGTGTCTCGCCGCGGTTCTCGGGATGAGCAAAAGCAAGCAGCCTGCCCGCGTGGTTTTCACCCAGTACGAGAACGAGACGGGATGGCCCGACGGCTTGTCATTCCTCATAGGAGTCGGAACCTGCATGTACATGTTCTGCGCTACCGACGCAGCGACACATATCGCCGAGGCATGTCCCATGAATTCGAATGCCTGCACTTCGAGTGACTGACTATTCGCAGGAGGTCCCGGATCCAGGCCGGACTATTCCCAAGGTGATGTGGCTAACGCCGGTGATCGGGATTGCCACGGCGGTGCCGTTTGTCGTGGCCACCTTATTCGCGACAGTCGACCTAGGCGAGATCATCCGCTCCGAACTGCCTATCCTGACGCTGTATCATCAAGCGACGGGTAGCAAAGACGTAGCCGCCATTTTCACCGTCTGGCTTATTTTCAACTACTTTGGAGGCGTACTCGCGGGGCTCGCGACATCCGGCCGCATGGCTTGGGCTTTTGCCCGCGACAACGGGCTGCCCTTTTCCAGAACGTTAGCAGCAGTGCATGCGCGATTCCAAACGCCCGTCGCCTCGACCGTTGCCTGTGCCGTGCTGATGGCACTGTATGGTCTTATCTACATTGCGTCCAGCACGGCATACAGCAGCATCATCTCGATGTCGATCCTATCCATAAGCGTAACGTATGTGCTTCCGCAGGGCATCCTGCTCTTCCGAGGACGGGAAAAGGTGCTTGTCGACCGCTACTTCGATTTAGGGCGGTATGGGGCCTTTGTCAATGCGTTCTCGTGTCTGTGGGTTGGGCTGTATACGGTCATCTTCTGTTTCCCGACGATCATGCAGTCCACGCCGTCCAATATGAACTATCTGGCTCCTGTTGTTGTCGCAATCGTCGTATTGATTCTTGCGATGTGGTATGGCGGGAAGAAGAAGGCGTTTTTTGGGCCGGTGAGTATGCAGCAGAAGTGTAGTGTGGCAGCTTACTGACATTGTCTTCCAGAGTGTTGTGCTTGCAGAGGCACTGGCCCAGGAGTCAAGCATTGCAATCGTGGCGAAGCGAGGGTCCTCACACTTAGATGACCTACCTGGCAGCGTCTAGTCACACTCGTTAATGCTCTCCTTAAGTTAGACAGCATATATAGAATCTGAGCAGGATCCATAGCCTGTTTACCATTACAGCAGATAAATGCTATCTCGTAGACTATCTACCTCCCCCGAAACGCAGGCTTCCTCTTCTCCGCAAAAGCTCTAAGCGCCTCATACCGATCCTCCGTCTCAATCACCCCATTATACGCCTCATTCTCCGCCGCCTCCCCGCGCTGATACCCCGCAACAGCCTGAATCGCCTGCTTGATCGCAATCGGACCTCCCTCACAAATATCCAGCGCAAGCTTAATACTCTCCCTCAACACCTTCTCCCGCGCAATGCCCTCCTTCCCCTCCTCCTCGGGCAAAATCTCCACAAGCCGATCACAAAGACCAAGGAAGTACGCCTCAGGACCCGACACCCTCCGACCCGTAAGAATCATGTCCCGCGCGCGGTTCACCCCAATCAGCGCAGGGAGACGGTACGTGCCGCCCGCGCCGGGGATAATCGCCAGCCGGGTCTCTGGCAGGCCAACGATAGCAGACGAGCCAAACACGCGCAGGTGCGTGCACAGCGCGAGCTCGAGGCCGCCGCCCAGCGCTGTGGAGGAGATGGCGGAGATGGTGGGGATCTGGAGCGCGGCGAGGTCGTGGAATGTGCCGCGGAGTTTGGTGAGGAATTGGTTTGTCCTGGTCCCTCGTAATCAGCAAGATAGATCCAGTGCGCTATGGCTGGTGGTTGGTGGTGGCGGTACTTACTCCTCCTTGGTCATCTTCGCGCGCTCTTTGAGGTCCGCGCCGGCGCAGAAGGCGGCGTCGGCATTGCTGGCGATGATCAGGGCGCGGGTTGGGCCTGTGCCGCCTTCCGCGGCGATGGAGTGGATTTGCTTGGAGAGGGCGTCGAGGAGGGTCCGCGAGAGGGCATTACGGGCTTTGGGGCGGTTGAGGAGCAGGACGCGGACGCTGCCGGATCCTGGTGCGGGGACCTGTTGGGTTTGGATGACGGCGTCGTCGGTGCTGGTGCTGTAGCGGGAGATGGTGACGCGCAGCGAGACGATGCGAGGGGAGCTCGAGAGAGCGGGTGCGAGGCGTGGGAGTCGGGGCGGCATTTTCAATATCGATTGGAATTTAGAATACAGAGCTTGAAACAGGTGAGATTGAGCACAGTCAGAAATGAAATAAAGAATTAAGAAGATGGATGAAGCTCTCCAGTCGTTTCTCCAACTCGCGGGGAAAGCTTTACACCCGCTGTGGGGAACCGAAGAATGCCGCGAATAAGCGGATGATCCTTTCTGAATGGAGACGACAAGCGAAAGGGTATCTATCGTGATTGATTGCCACTAAATGAATATATATACAGAATCTAATGTACAGACTTGCTAAGGTTCCCAATGTAAATACTCCCAGGTCTCATCATCGCTTGGCCAGGAACCCCACAGCGGAGTCGCCGCGACAATCTCATATGCCTCTTGCAGCTTCGAATCGGACACACTCGCGTCTGAATCTGAGACATCGTTCGAAAGAGATTCATCCCCGGCCATTGACTCCGACGGCAAATTGTCAGATGAGCCCCAAGGTCGTTTCCCTCCGTATCCTTCGAGAAACACACGGAGTGCAACCAGAGTACGCCGCATCATGCGATCGCCGTTCATATGCTCATCAGACGCCTCTTTGAGGGTGGCGGCATTCTGGCTCATCCACCGAAGCAATTTCAACAGGCCGTCATAATCCCCAGCCAGCCCTAGCGCTCTGACGAATGCGTGTAGAACGGCTGGGGAAGGCACGTGAAGCATAGGAGGAACAGCCACCGGCGGACTCGTAGCACTCTCAAAAGTGCCTGCCGAACGCTCACCGAAAGGGGCATTTCTCGGATCCGAAAGGACGAGCTGGTCAAAGTGTTCCTTGAGAATGGCAAGTCCACTCCGAACCATGTCCTCAAAATGGGGACGCAGAACCTTAAAGTGTTTGATGCTTCCTCGCCGTGCTGCTTCATGGACCATTGCCAGGCCCTCTTCTGTGGCATGTGGATGTTTCAAACCTGCCATCACAGCCTTTGAGAAGCTGGTGCAAAGGACCTGATGCCCCTGCAGACCAGGCTCAATTGCACGTCCTTTCATCCAACCGATGACCTCGACCATCTCATACCAGGCAAGTACACGTTGTGCACTGCGGCTCATCCTGCGATATGGCGTTCTGATGCGATCCTTGCTCAGCGCTGTCAAGAGATGAATCCACGGAGGGGTGAAATGGGAGTTTCGAAGTTTCAACAGCTGGATCGCATGCGACAAAGTTTTCGGATGCTGCAAGGTACTGCTTGCTCCTGAGGCATGAGCAGTGGAAAACAGCGTCGAGGTTTTCGGCTTGTTCGGATGAGTATTACTCATGATAATGGGGAAGAGATCGGCCGTGCGAATATCATGCCTTTCCAGGTGCAAGGAGTCAAGACTCGAAAAGTTGCAAAGAAAGCCTATGAAAGACGAGAAGAGATAGTCCGGCAGTTCATCCAAAACCTTTGAATCCAACGCATCATAATCCGACGTACGTTCCCACACAGTGCACAAAGCTTGGATTTGTTCATTCGACAAGTCACTGCAACTGAGATAATCCAATCCGCAATTGAATGTTGGCGCAGATCGCAGAAGCAATGCCAAAAATCTCCCGGATGGACGAATACCCTGGGAAAGCATCTGTTTGAGAAGCTCTTCCAGGGTAGGAGGCTCCGTGTGTACGTAAATCAAATCGCGGGCGGAAGCAGGTTCCGGGAAGACTTCCAGGCCATCGCCAGGTAAAGAATGACTGATATGGTCGAAGTCATTCTCCAGCGCTTTTCTCCGAAAAATCAATTTCTCAGCCATGGCGACATAGATACTCGCTCGCGGCGGTAGGCCTTGATCCTGATATGACAGAAAACAAGCCCAGGCCTCCCGCACCGTGCGCGTGGCGCGGATTCGGGCCACCCAGACTGCATGATGATCTGGCTTGCTTCCAGCAGGCCCACGTAGCAGCTGCGGTCGGCGCATCATTGCCCTGGTTTGAACCGTCGGGCTTTTGTCCGTGTCCCAGCCTGCCAATATCCCAGAAACCTCTTCCCAGCGAGTGTGAGAGTAGCCTGCCTCTCTCATTTGAGCCATCACCCGCATGGCGCGACTCTTCATTCCTTCGTTCCCTCGTTGGGAGTCGATTCCAAGCTTTTCTTCCTTCCACGGTGGCCACGATGGTGCCTTTAGTTCTGCCGATTGCCGTTCGGCGGACGTCTTCTTGTGGGCCAATTGCACAGCAATGATACCTTGATAGCCCTGCCGCGTCACCGGAAGGACCGGATTGTGTCCTGCCATAGCCTTGAGGAGTTCGAATTGAGCTTGTTGCTGCACAGAAACGAATTTGAAAGGGCCTGCTTTGCAAGGTAACGAGAGCAGCCAGAGACATGCGTTGAACTTGTCAGCCATGAACTTGTTCCTACGGTGTCTGGCGATCTCCGAAATCTCTTGGCCATTTCTTAGCAGAGTGAGATAGGATGCGAAGGCACGCGCGACGGTGAGCTGGGCCTGTGGCCATACTTCCCGAGCATGACGAAGCAGACGGGTAACGAACGCGAAACACGTAGTAGGGTCGATGAGCGGTTCTGTCTGTTGTGAATCGAGGCTGTCCTCGAGCTCCTGGGCAGTGCATTGTACGCGCGTGAAGACGTGGAAAGGCGGAATTTTTCGGCCAGTGATGATGTGCAGGGAATAAATTAGAAGCAAGCGAAAAGTCTTCGCGTCGAGGCTTTGTCTGCGCAGGAGAAGTAGAGGAATAAACGGAGGTATGAGCCGACGTTGGGAGCCAGGTCTGGCTCCCTCAGCAGACTCGGCCATCAAAATTCGGAGAGCAGCCTCGTGAGAGGTGTTGCTCCTGAGAATCCACGACCAAAGCAACACATCGCTGGGGCTGCAATGCCGTGCCGTCAAATACTCGATGATTTTTGGCGGGAACGCCTGTCGCAATACGGCATCCAGCTCTGGCGTCGCTTCGGTGTCATCATGCGCTCTATGTTCCCGGCCCAAAATAGGATCCACAAACCGTATCCAATCCGCAAGAATAGTCTGCAGAGATAATCTCGGTTGTTTGAGAGGCGCTTCTTTTTGCCATTCCCCATAATCACTCACGATGGGATTCAAAGGCTGCGTCTGACCGGGTCCAATTCCGTTACTGCGTGTAGAAGTATGGAGAACATCGAGTAGATACTGCGTAGGGGTCATAATAGAAGATTGTGTTGCCTTCACTTTCGTGGCCTTTCGAGAAGACATCGCTTTCTTTTCGGAGTATTCGGTCAAAGTTGCATCGTGCCCGTTTGAATATACATTGACAATTGACGGTGAATTGTCCGATTCGCCAGAGCTTTCGTTACGTCCGCACAGGTGATTCGAGCCGGAGGGCGAAAACGATCGGCTCAATTGAGACTGATTTCGGATCCTACACCAGAAGTTATGCCAACGATCTTCCTCGCCATTTCCATCAATCAGCCGCTCATTCTCTGAAGGAGCGGCAGTGCCGATATAACTGTATTCCCGGAACACCCCCGCAGAACACAGGAAGCCATTGCGATGCCACTTCCTTGGGTGTGTAGGACGTGAAAAAATTTTAGAGGAGCGGTTCTAATCGGACAAAGAATGAACCATTAGCAAAGCTTCCAAAATAGCCTTTGGTTTGCCTAGAAAGGGTCCATCCACTCGTACCTTTGGCCATGGACAATTGTTAATCAAATGCGCCGCTCTCAGAGAGACCCCCGAGCGGCTCGGAACATGATTGAAGACCGATGACATCCATGAAGAGAATCATGAGGAGGCTGCTGAGGAGCCAGGAAAGGAACCAAAGAAGCCTCCCGACACAGCCAGGAGCATCAATGAGAATGTGTTCGTAGGAAGTTGAGGAATAGTACTACAACCAGTACTCTACGATACTTTTGGGACTCGGAAGGAAAATGCTGCATCACGTGAGCGGCTGTCACGTTTTTGGCGCGCATCGACCGGATCT